ATTCTCTCAAGTATCATCCATGATTTAATTCCAAATCTTCAATCTTGTAAGTGTTTTAACCCTTTCAAGTTAGTAAAACACTTAATCTAGTGTTTGTGCATCTATTCATTCATTCATTTCCGGTTTTTGTTTAGATTTTCCAAAACACCAAGAACACACACTAAGTGTTCTTGGCCTTTTAGCTCAATTCAAGCTTCCTTATGTAAGTACTTCCATCCTTGAGTGATTTTAAGCTAGTATTACATTTGAATATCAAGAAATAATGTCAAGAACACAAGGTTGGAGGTGTTCACAGTTCAAGAACGTTCTTGGGCCGTAAAAACCATAAAGAGGCACCAAAGTGTGCCTAAGTCCCAAATCTAAGCCCTAGTTGATGTATAGAACATCCTTGACATGTTTAAACCCTTCCTTCTTGTGTTTAAGCCATGAAAAAGCACCAAAACCCCCAATTTTATGTGTTTACGGTTTAGGGATGTCCAAAAACCGTAAACACCCCAAAAAGTGGGTAAATGTCCATTTAAAGTCCCATAGTTGGTTCTTATGGCTAAATCTAACCTAGGCTAGTACCATGATTGAACTAAGGACTTAAAAACCCAAAATACCATAAACTTAGGAGTTTAAGGTAGTAAACTCATGAGTTTAAGGTGGTAAAGTCATGAGAAATGGTCCTTAGACTGTAAACTCCATTGAGGAGTGTTTTGATGCCACACAACACTTCCTAAGGCAAATTCGTGAAGTAGGAATGCTTGGAATAGCCTAGAAGACTTCGAATCACCAAATGGTCAAAAGATTTGGAGTTTACGGCCGTAAACTCAAGAGTTTATGACCGTAAACTCAAGGGGTGTTGATCCTTAGGGAGTAAACACATTTTAAGAGTTACCCTTGAACCCCAAACACACTAGCCTTTCCCTACAACACTTAGATGCAACCCTTGAGACTTTTAACACTTGTATAAAGTGTTTAACATGTCCTAGAGTGTTTTAACTTTGTTTATTAGTTGTTTAAAGACTAATTATGTATATACATATATCCTTATATGTTATTAGGATCTTTGTGCGTGTCTAAGTCTTCACTTGACACCAAGCACTTATCCGACACTTCTTTCCTATCCACTTACCACAGGTGAGTTCATACCTCTTAACTAATGTTTTAAATGTTTTAAAATGTTTTATGGGGGGGGATACAAGTAGAATCATGCTAATTATTGTATCAATCACATGTGATTAATAAGTAGAATTATGCTAGTTATTATATCAATCACATGTGATTAATATGCAGCATTCAAATGATACACTCCACTTTAACCATTCTTACCAAACAGGTTCCTCAACTTTTCTTAAATGTTTTATATGTTTAAAAATCCTTATTAAACGGTTCATTACACACTGTATGATCCTATTTCAAACCATTTTACTCCGATCTGTTTTACTCCAAGCTGTTATCAAAACGTTTTACTTCAAACTGTCTTACTTCAAACTGTTTTTACTTCAAATTGTTTTATAGATTGACATCAAGTCGATCTTTTCTTAAGATAATAATTACATTCAAAGGTTTTACAAAACTTACTTTATGCTTTTATATTATAAATTGCATGCCTATATATGTATAGTTATATGAGAATGTTTAAAAGACTTAGGAAGGCTATCCACCCTATTTCCTTTTCGCGCTTGAGATGTGGTCTGGTGGGATATCGGGTATCCGTCCGAAGGTCGTTTAAATATTAGTTATATATCATATGTACATATATAGTCATAAAGGCCCTTCCAGTTCATCCAATGTTGTTGGGTAGCAAGGGTATACATCGATGTTCATACATACCAGTTATATTACTAGTAAGCTACCATATGGGTAGTTTAGGAAGATACTAGAACTATTACTAGAACGCAATACTATACAATGAGTCAGTTCATTCATGAGTCATACTTTCTAGAACATTACAGTACATTACTATACTTGCTAGATAGAGAGCACGTACACTACAACTAGAACATTACAGTACCTTACCATACTATTACATAGATATGGTCACATGATCACATGTACATGAGTACACTTATAGGAATTACTAGTACATTTTATATGTATAGATTCTGTTATATAATCCTCATTCTTATCTTTACCTTGTGATTCAATCACATAATTGACGAGATAGATTGGATTTAATATGCTAGTACCCAAGGATACATTGCGGGACTGACCATTCCTAGAATCTCTGTTAGCTACAGAGGTAAAAGCACATCCACGGATGTCAACGGTTGATACCATTACAGATATACTTTTGGGGACTGACTATTCCTATACCCAGCTGTTAGCAACAGAGGTCAATGAACATCTACGGATGTCTTCAGTTAACATTGTTAGTTGCGCTTTTTCCAAAGGGTAATACTAATGCAGCTTGGTCTTGGTAGAAGACTACATTCAGAACAGTTAAGTCTCGGTAGATGACTACATTCAGAATAGTTAAGTCTTGGTAGAAGACTACATTCAGAACAGTTAGGTCTTGGTAGAAGACTACATTCAGAACAGTTAGGTCTTGGTAGAAGACTACATTCAGAAAAGTTAGATCTTGATAGAAGACTACATTGAGAACAGTTAAGTCTTGGTAGAAGACTCCTTTTATTACTAATAGGAATCATAGGGATTTCTAGGGTTTTTCAAACGTTTACAGTTGTTTTACAAACCTCTTCATACTTACAGTTCATATACAAATTTTTACATACAAATACTTACGTACAAATTAAGACACTAAATACTTATGATCTCACCAGCTTTAAAGCTGATACTCGCTTTCAAAATTACTTGTATCCTCAGGTCATCATAGACAGGTACCGATGCAAGGAGAAAGGAAGATGGAGCTTGTTCAAGACTCATCTTTCATTTCGATTTATGATGTTGTGTTTATCAAAATTTGACAGGACACTTGTATAATAATTATATTATTAATGCAATGGATGATGTTGTTGCTTGTTTACTACTATTCATTGTTGTGATACTGTACATGACGTCCTCCGCCCAGAACGTTTCCGCCGTTATTGGTTTTGGGGTGTGACAAGGAGAGAGGCTAGGCACTGCAGACGAGGATGAAGAACGATCCGTATGCATGGTTGGTAAGGGAGACGTAGCCTGAGGTCGAACCGGAGAGACAGCCGATGACAACGGATGAAACGACAAGGGGACATCGGAAAAAGAGCTGGAGGGTGGGTTTGAAGTCAACACTGCCGGAGAGAGGATTCCGACAGAAGGGAAACCATGAACCAAATCCCTTGTATCAGAATCTGAACAATCCTCTATCACTCCATCTATTTTAGCGAAAGCTTCTTCATTAGCATGGTGTTCCACTAAAGATTCTAGAACTTCATGGGGAACAGCAACAAAACCATCAACATCATTTTGACAACCCGTTTCTTCACCAGACACAAGGATAGGACCTGCTAGTTCCCCATTCTCACGATCATGACACTTAACTTTTCCAACCGAGAGTTCACAGGATGTTTCTTCTGATACTTGGATAGGGGAGTTGGAGAAGAAGAAACCTCTGTTGCTGTGGTTGCTAACACAAAAGGTAGCGGAAGACGAAGAACTGTCAAGAAACTCAGACCCTCCATGAGCATTAGTGGAAAGAGCCAAGAACATCAACCTCTTCATCATGATATTTTGATTTTTTTGGAAAATCTACGAACCCTATGAATCTTCCCCATAATAATCACCAAAATTTAACTAGTTAACAAAAAAAACCAACTTATTATAAGAAATTAAGCATAAGAAACCCAAGAAAATAACAAGAACACTTAATCTCCACAAGAAGTTCCTAGAGAGAAAAATTCTAGAGAGAGAACATACTCCATGGGTTTAGGGTTTGGGTTTAGGGTGGGTTTAGGGCTTAGGGCTTAGGGTTTAAGGCTTAGGGTTTAGGGTTTAGGGTTTATGGTTTAGGGTTTAGGGTTTAGAGTTTTGGGTTTGGAGTTTGGGGTTTGGGGTTTAGGGTTTGGGGTTTGGGGTTTAGGGTTTAGGGTTTAGGGTTTAGGGTTTAGGGTTTAGGGGTTTAGGGTTTAAGGTTTAAGGGTTTAGGGGTTTTGGGTTTAGGGTTTAGGGTTTAGGGGTTTAGGGGTTTAGGGTTTAGGGTTTTAGGGTTTAGGGATTAGGGTTTAGGGTTTAGGGTTTAGGGTTTTAGGGTTTAGGGTTTTATGGTTTTAGGGTTTTAGGGGTTTAGGGTCTAGGGTTAGGGTTTAGGGTTTAGGGTTTAGGGGTTTAGGGTTTAGGGTTTACGGGTTAGGGTTTAGGGTTTAGGGGTTTAGGGTTTAGGGTTTTGTGTTTAGGGGTTAGGCTTTAGGGGTTTAGGGTTTAGGGTTTATGGTTTAAGGTTTAGGGTTCAGGGTTCAGGGTTCAGTGTACAGGCTTCAGGGTTCAGGGTTTGGGGTTTAGGGTTTAGGATTTAGGGTTTAGGGTTTATGGTTTACGGTTTAGGGTTTAGGGTTTAGGGTTTAGGGTTTAGGGTTTTTTTTTGTGGAAAAAGGGAATCCCCTTAGCAAATATATTAAGAATATGAAGAGATACAAAAGAAGAGGGCAAAATCCCAATAAAAAGAAAAAAAAGACTAGTCAAGCTAAGGGACGTGCCCCAAAGCGATGATAAAACAAAAAAAAACATCTAGAGACTAACTAAAAATAAGAAACTAAAATCGTTAACCCTGATCTATTGGAGAGGAGATACATCCAGCGTGAAAAGAGCTCGGTAGTGCTTCAGAAGCTGGGTGAGTATCACTCGAATGAATAACAGTAGGGACAAGATAATCATCATCAATATCATCCACTCTTTGATGGGAAAGAGCATCAAACATGTTTGTGGTAACTTTTTCCTTTGGCTTTTCACGGTTAACTGGTTTATAAATTTGAGAAATCTGTAAAGTAGGGCCTTTTCCTTTTCGGTTGTCGATGGGAGTCTTCTTTTTGGGAATTGGCACTGTTCTAATTCTTCTCTTGACCATTTGGAATCCTTCATTATCAACCTCTTTTTGAGTGGGCAGAGGAGAGTTTTCTAATGTTATCAATTGAATCATCAAAGGCAGAATCAGACTCACCTTCATGGTTGTATTTCTTTTTGGTAAACCGAAGTCCATGAACAAATCCTTCCTTCTCATTAGTAGTTAACCCATTCCAAAAACACAACATCACATCCTTCTCTCCATGACTACAAAAAAGAGCGATATCATTTTCAAATTCACGAACAGGGGTACTCAATCCTTCAATCAATCCTTCCTCCTTCTTAATAGGGATACAATTAATCAAAGGAGCCATAAGAGAGCAACAAAATTGATAGAAGAAGAATTAGAAGCGTTCTCAATCCTAGTCCCACCATTGATAATGTTGCCAATCTTACCCTCATCCTTAATCTCAGAAGAATTAACATCGGAATCAAATTTTTTTGACCAAAAGCGACACCGATTTAGGAGGAATAGGGTTAGCAATCTTGTCCTGAACGGTATTAGAAGCTTCTTTATTCTTGTTCTTCGAATTCACATTTCTCCCTTTTTTCCTCATTATTACGTCGGGTTCCAGATCAGGAGGAACTCCTTCCATAAATTTGAACAATTAGTATCCACAGAACGAGCAGGAGATAACGAACAAATTAAGATCAAAATCAATGGAAACTGTTGCTGGAATAACGATCGGTGCCGGAAAAACGGTTGAAAAAATGGGGAAATCGCCAAATCGCCAGAGAAGAGATAGAAACGGGTTTAGGGTTTAGGGTTTATGGTTTAGGGTTTAGGGTTTAGGGTTTAGGGTTTTAGGGTTTAGGGTTTTAGGGTTTAGGGTTTAGGGTTTAGGGTTTAGGGTTTAGGGTTTTAGGGTTTAGGGTTTAGGGTTTAGGGTTTAGGGTTTAAGGTTTAGGGTGTAGGGTTTAGGGTTTGGATTTTAGGGTTTAGGGTTTAGGGTTTTAGGGTTTAGGGTTTAGGGTTTAAGGTTTAGGGATTAGGGCTTAGGGTTCAGGGTTTAGAGTTTAGGGCTTAGGGCTTAGGGTTTAGGGTTTTTTTTTGGAAAAAGGGGAATCCCCTTGGCAAAATATATTAAGAATAGGAAGAGTTATAATAGAAAAGGGTGAATGCCCAAGAAAAAGAAAAAAGACTAGTCATGCTAAGGGACATGACCCAAAGCAAGGACAAGACAAACAAACAACTAGAAACTAACTAAAAAAAAACTAAATTCGTCATCCCTGATCAATTGGAGAAGAGATACAACCACCATGAGAAGAGCTCGGCAGTGCGTCAGAAGCTGGGTGTGTAGTACTCGGACTAATAATAGGAGGGACACGAGATGCATCATCAATATCATCCACTCTTTGATGGGAAAGAGCATCAAACATGTTAGTGGAAACTTTTTTCTTTGGCTCTACACGAGTAACTGGTTTATAGACTTGAGATATCTTTATAGCGGGGCCTTTTCCTTTGCGGTTGTTGATGGGGATCTTCTTTTTTGGATTTGGAAGTGATTGAGATCTCCTCTTGACCGTTTGATATCCTTCATTATCAACTTCTTTTGGGGTGGGCATAGCCGACTTTGGGTCGGGGGAGCTAATCATGTGAGTGGGACACATGGCATGGTCATGACCAAAGATTTTGCAATGATCACATCTCTTAGGGATCCAAGAATACTCCACTTTAAGTGTTGTAGAAGTAGAACCTGTAGCTGTGATCGCTTTGATTTTTATTTCTTTTGCCCAAGGATCTTTAGCCGACATTTCTATGAGAATGCGAGCATAAACCGCACGATCCATAGCCCGCTCACACATGGTTGTGGTATAAGAGTCAACCTCTAAAGGCTTTCCAAGTTTGCTAGCAATAAGACTCAAACCATCCTTGTTAAAGAGTTGAAGGGGGATTCCAAAAATATTAACCCAAACGGGCACCCGGTCATGAGTTGGCTTTTCAATGAAGACTTTGGGATCCCATTTGCGGAGAAAGAGCGGGAAACCATTAATCCTCCAAATACTCTTTTGAAGAACAAAATTCATGCCAACGATGTTATCAAATTTGAAGAAGAACACGTCATCGCTATTTATAAAAATGTCATATAGCCCATGTTCCTTCCATAATTCAAACACTCGGTCTCTAACAAACGGGAATGCGAGTCTATCTCCAACGAAATAACCATAAAGTGTTCGTTCGAATGGAACGCTACCCTTATCCATAATTGAGGGGGGAATAAGGATTTGATCATCTTCTATAATTTCAATATTATCAATGAAATCAAGAGAAAGAGGTTTAAGGAGATTACCCTCATTGTAATTTAAACCATGCACAAGATCGGCGTCGCTATAGGGAATAGGGGACGTCGAAATGGGCTTAAGAGGAGGAGGGGCATCCACAGAAACACGACCCAATACTATGTCGGGAAAGGAGCATTCATTTTGAACAAATTTTGGGTTGTTGGGCCCAAAAGAAAGTTGCTGAAGGATTGGGTCCAAACCACGAGACTGAGTGGGTGGAGAATGAGGATCCATGCTATCATTAGCTTCACTAGGAGGAAAGGGTATGGGGACAAAATGGTGAGGGTTTCTAGGAGCATTAATTCTAGTGTCCCCTTTTTTGTCACAGCCAATAGAGTGCATTGGGAGGGGGTCCTTTGAAGGCGACGAGGCTATCCCACCAGTTCCACTTAAGGAAAGGAAATTAATGTAGTCATTATTTAAGGAAGCCACGTTTCCCTCCTTTAAATTATCTTGCCTTTGACTTTCCAAATAAAAGTTATTCACTGAGGGAGCATTTAATGCGTTTTCTTGGGGATGATTCGATGGTAGATGAATCGCAGCTCCAAAGCTTAAATTAGTAGAGACAATCTCGGTATTCTCCCCATTAATATTTTGACTAACCATGTGAGGAGGTGAAACGACACACGGGTTCAGAACCACAGTCATTCCTTTACCAAAATTAGATGTGAAACCCTCGACATCTTCTCCTAAAAGAGTTTGACTTCCTAAACGAGGAGAGAGGCTAGGCACTGCAGATGAGGATGAAGAACAATCCGTATGCATGGTTGGTAAGGGAGACGTAGCCTGAGGTCGAACCGGAGAGACAGCCGACGACAACAGATGAAATGATGAGGGGGACATCGGAAAAAGAGCCGGAGGGTGGGTTTGAAGTCAACACTGCCGGAGAGAGGATTCCGACGGAAGGGAAACCATGAACCAAATCCCTTGTATCAGAATCTGAACAATCCTCTATCACTCCATCTATTTTAGCGAAAGCTTCTTCATTAGCATGGTGTTCCACTCCAGATTCGAGAACTTCATGGGGAACAGCAACAAAACCATCAACATCATTTTGACAACCCGTTTCTTCACCAGACACAAGGATAGGACCTGCTACTTCCCCATTCTCATGATCATGACACTTAACTTTTCCAACTGAGAGTTCACAGGATGTTTCTTCTGATACTTGGACAGGGGAGTTGGAGAAGAAGAGACCTCTGTTGTTGTGGTTGCTAACACAAAAGGCAGCAGAAGATGAAGAACTCTCAAGAAACTCAGACCCTCCATGAGCATTAGTGGAAAGAGCCAAGAACATCAGCCTCTTCATCATGATATTTTGATTTTTTTTGGAAGATCTACGAACCCTATGAATCTTCCCCATAATAATCACCAAAATTTAACTAGTTAACAAAAAAACCAACAGATTATAAGAAACTAAGCATAAGAAACCCAAGAAAATAACAAGAACACTTAATCTCCACAAGAAGTTCCTACAGAGAAAAATTTTAGAGAGAGAAAGTACTCCATGGGTTTAGGGTTTGGGTTTAGGGTGGGTTTAGGGTTTAGGGCTTAGGGTTTAGGGTTTAGGGTTTAGGGTTTAGGGTTTAGGGTTTAGGGTTTAGGGTTTCGGGTTTAAGGTTTAGGGTTTAGAGTTTGGGGTTTGGGGTTTGGGGTTAGGGTTTGGGGTTTGGGGTTTAGGGTTTAGGGTTTAGGATTTAGGGTTTAGGGTTTAGGGTTTAGGGTTAGGGATTTAGGGTTTAGGGTTAGGGGTTTAGGGTTTAGGATTTAGGGGTTTAGGGTTTAAGGTTTAAGGGTTTAGGGGTTTTGGGTTTTGGGTTTAGGGTTTAGGGTTTATGGTTTAGGGTTTAGGGATAAGGGTTTAGGGTTTAGGGTTTTAGGGTTTTAGGGTTTTAGGGGTTTTGGGTTTAGGGTTTAGGGTTTAGGGGTTACGGGTTTAGGGTTTACGGGTTAGGGTTTAGGGTTTAGGGTTTAGTGTTTTGGGTTTAGGGTTTAGGGTTTAGGGTTTACGGTTTAGGGTTTAGGGTTTAGGGGTTAGGGTTTAGGGTTTAGGGTTTTAGGGTTTAGGGTTTTGGGTTTTAGGGTTTTGGGTTTAGGGTTTAGGGTTTAGGGTTTAGGGTTTAGGGTTTAGGGTTTAGGGTTTTTTTTTTTGGGAAAGAGGCCGAAGCCCCGGCAAAGATTTTATAAAATCAAAAAAGAAAACAAGAGTTATGTCATTTTTGGACACCCTCTGTCGTACTCGGCGTTCTATGACTTCGGCTCAGGATTCAGCTAGTGCCTGTAGCAGGGTTTCATGGTTTCTCTCAGATCTCTCATGAGCATCTTCTAGACAAATGGTGCGGAGGGTATGCATTCTCGCACTGGCGGCAACTTCAGTGATCTGATGTAGGGCTGTCATGCCTTGAATCTCATTTCGGGCCACTCTGTGGACCAGGATTGGCAACCTTCTGTCTGCCGAGCCCCCATTGCTCAGGTCATAAAAGTTTCGATCACCATCAAATTGCATGGGCTGATCTTGTCCTTGGCTCCATGTTTCCAAGCATTCCACCCATGGAGGCGTCGGGCCTTGAAAAGCCGGACGAGGGTTAGGAATTTGAACGGGAGCTGCCTGGGGTAGATCTTCAACCTCGGATTCAGAATTAGAACCATTCGAAAGGTCTTCATCATGGTGATCATTCATAGGGATAGCATGATCATTTTCTAGCTCTTCTTCAAACGGGTTACATCATAATGTGCCTCGGATATCGAGGACTCCGTCAAGATTTTCATAGAAATCATTATCTCTACCTCGCATAAATGAAATGGTCGAACAAACGCAAGGAAAGAATTACTTCCAGGAATGGATCTGAGATCCGAATATCACCAGTTCGAGTGTTAGAGAAAGATGTCCGGAAGACTATCTCCTAAACTCGATGCGGACACTTCGAGTCCGTAGTGATACCCTTCAGATAGGACCAGTATGCCCATAGTACTCATGAGATTAAATGAGTAGGGTACGCCTTTCTTACTTGGATCAGTTTGGCATTACCCCATGTAATGACTTACTTATCTACCCTCGTAGTAAGAAAGAACCTATGGAAACATTACCTTCAGAGGAACCTTCGCGAAGTTCTCTAAGCACAAGTTTGAAATTGAAGAGTCATGTTCCTATGATACACTGTTAGTGATGTGGGAATTTTGAGTACTCTTGCAATTTATCAAAACCGTTGAGAAAATTGCCGACACCAGAGACGCCGACAGTCATACGCCAAATTCTAGGTCTTACAGACCTACTTTCTTAGTCATTCAAAACTCCTCACAAATTACAGAAACCCTTTCGACCTTGACCCAGCAAGGGGTGGCCCTTGACTGGGAAGTTTAGCAAGAAAAAGAAACCTTGGAGATTCCAAGTGAGAGACCAAGTCCTTTAGGAAAAAAATCACTTTGGGAATGGCTTAATATGTTTCTTAAAGCTTGGAAAGCGAAATCCAAGATAGATAGGACCTCTGGGATTCGTACCAGAATCGTCCTGTACCTCGCACAACCTAGACCTACTCCGCGAACTCGGTAACATACATTCTACTCTTCGCGTCTCGATCGTGAAGCCGTACTTTTCCATTAGGACTCTTATAAGTCCACTCATCGAGATCCTCGCTTCCGTATTTGAACCGCAGTGACCCTCGACCGAGTGATCAAGCGGACGAAGCAACACGAGCCCGTTAGTGAAGGTTCGTTAGGATGCCAACCGAGGAATCGATTTCACTTAGGAGCGCTAGAACCAATCGATTAGGAAGTTTCCTCCTCTCGACTCGATCATTCATACCTACTTCCTTACCTAAATTCTAATTTCGGGACGAAAATTCCCTTAACAGGGAGATGATGTGACAACCCGAAATTTCCATTCGGTCAAACCCTAAAGTCAACCACTTCGTAGCATAAGTCAATGTCATTATTTTATTTTTAAGAAAAATAAGTTCGTTTGATTATTTTAATATTATTTTTAAGCGAACGGGTGTAAGAAAGTGTCGTCTCGGGTTTTGATTTTTGAAAACCGCAAACACTTCGCGTATTAGAAACACCCGACCAAACTTTTATGTTTGGGTCGAAAAATCATCCAAATTCCGTAACTCATGCTTATACATGAGTTTACTCCACATTTGTGTTTACTCCCCATTTATCAAAAGAGTAAACTCCAAAAAATTCTCTCAAGTATCATCCATGATTTAATTCCAAATCTTCAATCTTGTAAGTGTTTTAACCCTTTCAAGTTAGTAAAACACTTAATCTAGTGTTTGTGCATCTATTCATTCATTCATTTCCGGTTTTTGTTAGATTTTCCAAAACACCAAGAACACACACTAAGTGTTCTTGGCCTTTTAGCTCAATTCAAGCTTCCTTATGTAAGTACTTCCATCCTTGAGTGATTTTAAGCTAGTATTACATTTGAATATCAAGAAATAATGTCAAGAACACAAGGTTGGAGGTGTTCACAGTTCAAGAACGTTCTTGGCCGTAAAACCATAAAGAGGCACCAAAGTGTGCCTAAGTCCCAAATCTAAGCCCTAGTTGATGTATAGAACATCCTTGACATGTTTAAACCCTTCCTTCTTGTGTTTAAGCCATGAAAAAGCACCAAAACCCCAATTTTATGTGTTACGGTTTAGGGATGTCCAAAACCGTAAACACCCCAAAAAGTGGGTAAATGTCCATTTAAAGTCCCATAGTTGGTTCTTATGGCTAATCTAACCTAGGCTAGTACCATGATTGAACTAAGGACTTAAAACCCAAAATACCATAACTTAGGAGTTTAAGGTAGTAAACTCATGAGTTTAAGGTGGTAAATCATGAGAAATGGTCCTTAGACCGTAAACTCCATTGAGGAGTGTTTTGATGCCACACAACACTTCCTAAGGCAATTCGTGAAGTAGGAATGCTTGGAATAGCCTAGAAGACTTCAAATCACCAAATGGTCAAAAGATTTGGAGTTTACGGCCGTAAACTCAAGAGTTTACGACCGTAAACTCAAGGGGTGTTGATCCTTAGGGAGTAAACATTTTAAGAGTTACCCTTGAACCCCAAACACACTAGCCTTTCCCTACAACACTTAGATGCAACCCTTGAGACTTTTAACACTTGTATAAAGTGTTTAACATGTCCTAGAGTGTTTTAACTTTGTTTATTAGTTGTTTAAAGACTAATTATGTATATACATATATCCTTATATGTTTAGGATCTTTGTGCGTGTCTAAGTCTTCACTTGACACCAAGCACTTATCCGACACTTCTTTCCTATCCACTTACCACAGGTGAGTTCATACCCCTTAACTAATGTTTTAAATGTTTTTAAATGTTTTATGGGGGGGATACAAGTAGAATCATGCTAATTATTGTATCAATCACATGTGATTAATAAGTAGAATTATGCTAGTTATTATATCAATCACATGTGATTAATATGCAGCATTCAAATGATTCACTTCACTTTAACCATTCTTACCAAACAGGTTCCTCAAATGATTTTCTTAAATGTTTTATATGTTTAAAAATCCTTATTAAACGGTTCATTACACACTGTATGATCCTATTTCAAACCATTTTACTCCGATCTGTTTTACTCCAAGCTGTTATCAAAACGTTTTACTTCAAACTGTCTTACTTCAAACTGTTTT